GGTGGCGACTCGTTGCTATTGTCACCATATTATCACCTTGAGCGATGTGTTCGAATCTTATCATCACCACCACCACCTGACTTTCCTCATTTGTGTGTCCTATTACAACCCTTTGATTGGCCGTTTCCTCCTTCCCGAAAATTATATCTTTATAGGTTCAATAAACGGAACTAAAAATGAAAAAATAAAAAAAAATCGTTTCTGTTCGAAAGCAAGTTATGCATTCAGGTCACTTGCATGCGCGTGTACTTCAACCTTTGCCATTAAGTTTTAGTTTTGACCCACAATGCTTTAGCCAAAACTCACAATTCTTCAGACACCCACTTTAGTCTTTTTGGCTCGATGCACAAGTTGAATCATGCCACTGTAGGCGAGCCAGATGAAAAGTATCGAATTATTCTGAGCTCAACGAATGTTATTAATATTACAGCTATGAACGCTTCATGATGAGCTGTAAAGCCACACCTTGATACTTAGCAAAGCATTACGACTGAAGTTAATGTGTAGACGCTAAAGGACTACGGACTGCATCTAAATAATTGTGAGTTTTGGTTTAAGCTTGATGGGAAAGGTTGTAGATTATTTAGCCCTGTGGAGTGAGCTACATAGACCGTACAACATAATTTGGAAGTTAAGTATCACCGTAACCTATTCAGACAGAAAAAATAAAAGCACAGGCTCGCATAATGTAACACAGGTTGTTTGATTGCACCAGTACACATACTTAGTGTAGTTCATGCGATTATTATTAAATGTGCAGAAAATACGGAATCTTGGTGCAAGAAAGATTGTGATTAACATCACTCACAAAGTGCATTTGTAACCAAGGTAACTCTGTGTTTCCTGGGAAATCAACAACTTCCGTATGTCTTGAATGAGAAGGATCACGGCGTCATTATTAAAGACCACCTAAGCTGTTCTTTAAACTGCTCACGGGCATCGTCTACCGCTGTAAGATACGTTGGTTTGCTAAAACGAGTATTTGACAAATTTGAACCTACGCTGTTCCCACGATTGTTATCAGCCTACATCCGAACCCAAGTAGAGTAGGCCATTCAAGCATGAAATCCATGGCTGCAACGCCATCAGAAGATTCTGGAACGTCCACAAAGAATGGCCACCAAAGTGATCAACGGACTGCATTTTAAGAGTTGTGCAGAAAGACTGGAAGCACTGCAACTGTACTCCACACGGTATCGCCGCATTCGAGGAGACTTGATCTTGGTATACCAAATAATGCAGAACCCAGACCACCCATGTCGTCCACTCTTTTTCTTATCGCCCAAAACTCACTTGCGGGGCACTCATTCAAATTAGTGCTTCAAAAATGCCGACTAGAATGCTGGCGTTATGCATTTGCCCTCAGATTGTGCTTTACTTGGAATTCTCTACCACCACACGTCGTTTCTGCGCTCGTAATTGATTCATTCAAGCACAAACTGGATGAAGCTTTGAAAAGTCTTAAATTTAAACATCCGTAGCAGTGCACAATAACAGACAAATTGTGGCATTCATCTACTTTGTATGAACTGTGAACCGATTCAACTGTGTCAAATTCTGTGGGAATAGAAAAGCGCCCGCTTCTTCGAGAATGAGTCGCGCCCTTCTATTGGCTGCGCCACATTTGTGTTCACTGTCGCATTAGAATTTATTGCTTGGTTTCTGCCATGTTCTCTCGACGTTCTGATCCCACGGAATCATTACTAAGACTAAAGAATATTTATTATTTTTCTGTGTTATCCAACTCACATGGTTCTGCCCAAACTGGATTTTCTGCTCCGAGTAAAAAACGAAAGCGCGCCGGGTGGCAAACTGCGCTTGTACACATTCCTCCAGCGGAGATGACGGTTCTCTCATTAATCAGTTCGAACATTTGTTCGCTTTCTAGCAAACTTCCTGACCTCACGGATTTTATAACTTATCGTGTGCATACAAACACATGTGTGATATGCATACAGGAATTGTGGCTCAACCAGAGCATAGACGATTCGCTGGTCAACATACCTGGTTTTGCAAGTTTTCGACAAAACAGAGAGGGAAGCAAAAAGAAGTCCGGAGGCGAGATAATAACCTGCATTAACTTAAGTTGGTGCGGCAAGTCCGAAACGTTGTTTGCTTTTTCCTCTTATGGTATTGACTGTCTAACTATTTCATGTCGACTCAGGTTTTCCCCTTATCGGAGCACAATTATTACCAATCTCTACATCGTCCCTTCTTGCTCACAAGTTGTAATTAGCTCTTTCTACGATGCATTTGTTCTTTTCATTGTTCTCTTGGTTGACGATAATCTAATTTTAATTGTTGATGATTTTAATCACGGATCAACCCAACCTTTACTTTCTTTCGGTCTATCAGATCTTTCTCTAACACACCGGAGGAAATGCTGTTTTGGACAAGGTTATTAATAATCATCCTAATATTTTCTCTCTCAAACTCAAGGCGCCAATTTCGTCCAGTGACCACTCCTACATCTTAGACCAAAGGTTTACTCTCGGTTGGTTTACCCCGCTTTTATTCGTACAAAACAAATGAACATGAAAATTTCGGAATCTTTCAGCCGACAGACTCCATCTCCTGAAGAAATCTCTCATGGTTTTCCGTTCTCCCTGTTCTGTTAAACATTTTACAGAAACAGTTAGTGCGACGTTCAATCTATGCTGTCGTATGGAAACAGCTTTTGTTCACACTGGCAGAGTATGCTCTCCGCGATGAAAAACTCTTAGAAGACAAAAAGAACTAGCGTTCAAGATATATCAAACAGCCACTGTCAAACAGCTTGCGCTGGAAATCAGGACAGAGATCAAGAGACTGAATGCTTCATTCGAAAAGCAAGTTCTGGGAGCTGGAGATGGCAAGGGATCGGATTGCTTTGCGGACAGCAGAAACGTACAAACAACACTGTTGACGTGGACAGCCTCAATACTGCATTCATTTATCCTTCGAATGATCTCCTGTCTCCGTACTCCACAGATCATCTATCTACCATAGACCCCGTCACCCATGAGGAGGTCCCTCATCTTCTCAAAACTACGAAAATCACGAACGCGGTTGGCCCCGATGGTCTCTCTTCGTCAATGCTCAAATATGGCGCCAGCTCCGTCACAGAGATGTTTGTCCTTTATTGATCAATCCATATACACATGTTCATTTCCGGATTCCTGGAAACTGTTCACCATTGTTCCTATTCCTAAACCCCCTTCCTCTAGCATTTTATCTAAACGCTTTCGTCCTATCGCCATCACCTCCTCTGCACTTAAGCTTGCAGAGCGCGCTATTCTCACCCTCTTGCTGTCTGGTATTATTGCTCCCAATGAACCCCTCCAGTGTGCGTACAAGCGAAATAAATGCACCTTAGATGCCGTCTCTTCAGTGATTCACTTTATCTGCAAATCTTTAAATGATTCTCAAAAGTCTGTTCGTTGTGTTTTCCTAGACTATTCTTCCGCTTTTGGTTCCGTTCCACGATCTCTTCTTCTGCGACAGTTACAGTCATTCGGTTGCCCCACCAACTTATTATCGTGGTTAAAAGATTATTTCACAGGAAGGATTCAAAGAACGAAAGCAAACGGTACTGTTTCAAAACC